GGGGGGGGCGTTTATAGCTGGAATTCAGGTTTAACTTGTTGGTCATTAGACATATTGCATTATGATAGGTTTGCTGTACAGAATAAAGTTTGGGACTCTTTACAATGGAGGTGTTTTTACTCATTATGGAACACCAGAGGTCAGGACACTTGATAGAAGACCTTGGATCTGTGTCCCTGGTACCACTGCTTCCTTAAGAGTTTAAGGAGACAGGTCCTTGTTTTATAGCACTAGGTAGAGCACCAACCCCCACTGATAAACCTTAATAAATGCTGTTTCAGTTTGCATCTGAGAAAGTACTTAAGTCCTGATTAATTCCCAGTGGGTAAAATTAGGAAGTTGTGTTGCACAGAATGACAACAGTAACAGTGGTATCATTAATGGGTTCTGCTCTTTAGAATTTTATACCTACTCTCTGGGGTATATTTGTGTTTTCTCATAACTTATATGCATATAATTAGCTGTATTAGCATCAAGGGTGCCCAAGTTGGCATATGGTTTACTGAAAAACAAGCCTGTTATCTGCCTTTGAGCACTTCATGAGTGAAGGATGCACATGTGTATTGCCTTGTGCAGCATTCCTGCTCTCATTGTGTCTCTCAAAAGCTGTGTATTAATGAGTTTTATCTCATCACTGCATAACTCTACATTTCTGACCTTCTCATAATTTTTCTTTACAGCATCACATTTGGTACAGACATAGTCTGTGTTACAGGTGCAGGTAAAAAGGAAGGAGCTGTGAGAATCAGGTTGCATTATGGCAATTTCACAAAGATAGAAGCCGGGCAGTTCTTTTACAGAAGGAATCCATCTATCCACCAATTTTACCCTGAAAAAAGCTTTGCCAGGTATTTTTTTTCTTTTGTTTGCTGAATTGTATCTTTTTCCTAATCTCATAAGGGGCATTTGTTCAGGTAGGGTTTATGAGTTTCCGTATTCAACAAAAAAAGGAAAATATTATGTCCGGATACATCTATTAAAGCTTTAAACACCGTAATACTAACTCAAAATAGTTTAGGTGAAGTTTCCTTTGTTGGCCATACACTGGGATATTTTCATACGAGAGTTCATACAATAACTCATCAGAACATTCGATAACGCCATAACAGACTTGATTAAAGTGGTTTGGTTCTAACATTTGATCTTGGAAATGGATTTTCCTTAATGAAAATCCACTGTTAGAATTTCATTTGTTGGAGAAAAGTTTTTGTTCATGTTTCTTCAATATTTTTTTTTTTTTTTTTTGCTATGGTTGAAAACAATCATCAATATGACCCCATTAGCTATTAGAAAACCGGACGTTCCAAAAACATTTTCAAGCAAAATTCTACTGGTGTGTGTGACCCGCTTGTTGTCCAACACCCAGCAGTATGTCTCCGAGATGTGAATGTCACCATTGACTGTAGACTATGTCAAATTTAGTCATTTTAATGAAAAGCAAAGCGCAAGAATGTGTAGTAAAGCTTTGGGGTTAGTATACTGTATACTGTATAATTCCTAATAGAATCACTTGAGGGTTGTTTATCACACTTAGTGTGCATATTTCTGGATAGGCGGTGGTATGTGGTCTCCAGAAACCATTGTAAACAGTGATTTTTTTTGTCATTGTATTTCAATTCAAATACAGTGCTGTTTAGCAGCAGTTGACTTTCAGTCTAAAGTGTGTGTAATTAAATGTTTGAAATGTGCATCTTAAATGCAACTGACATGAAATCTGCCTTTGTAAATAGTGGAGGAAGATACATCACCATATCTGGTATGGGATTTAACCTTGTCCAGAATTTCAGCATGATGGCGATGATACGGTCAAGAAGGGAGAAGAGACAGGTGGATGGGGACGGTGCTCAATTGGTAAGTGGTCTTTCACACATATTGAAAGGATACTTAACCCCAATATATTGCAAAATGTAATATGTTGCAGCTTACCAGCCCTTGGATATGGTGGCTGCATTGGTTCTTTTACAGGCCAAGTACAGTTTATTCAAGTACAAATGTACTCTTAAATGTTTAAGTCCAGAAAGCAGCCTATGGTGACAACGCTGCTTCTCTGTGAATACAGTATGGAGAGTGAGCATGGTCATCCAAAGTCCAAAACGTGTGTCACTGGCAGGATCACCAGGTACAAATAAAGGAAAACGCCTTTAAAAGTGAAAACTAATGCAGCCACCACATCTAAAGGCTAGAAAGCTGCACTATATTAAATTCTGTTTTGGGGGGGGGGATTAGATACCCTTTTAGGACCCAATGAATAGCGTTAGGGGGAAGACACACGCAGCCTACTAATTGACAAATGACAAAATTCGGGGTGTCTGGTCCTACACCTTGTTAGTTCTGTCCAGAATTCCTCCTTTAGGCTGAGATGCGGACGTAGCATGTGCATGCAGTAACAAAGCACACAATAGTTGCTCTCAATAGTTGGCGATGTCATTTTCGGATTTAGAAGTAAAAAGCAATGACGTTAGTATTTTTCCGTTAACCGCAAATTGCATGCGTACAAACTATTTTTCAGCAATGAGGGTAAACAGATTTATTTTCTTTATTACACAATTGATTTTGGTTCTGCTGCTCCCATTTAAAAAAAAAAAAGGGTTACAGCTCTCAAATACTTATCCATTCAGTGGAGCAAGCTTCCTTAGGAGTCTACCTGACAGCTGCTTCTGTGACATTTCTTTGTTTTGGCTGTTTGTTCTGTATAAAGAAGAGACGTTGATTTACTTTGTGGCAAAGAGGCATAAATGTCTAAGAATCAGCAGCCAGTAAGACCCAGAGGGAGCCCTCTTAGTCCCCATGCTCACGGGACTCCGGCATTAAACACAGGAGACGTTATCTTGGAAGTATAAACCACTTTAATGCTTCCCAGATCACTTTATCCTGCATTTAGATGTTGCAGGGTTTAGCTGTTGTTACATGCACGTATGCACCGCTGAACGCCTGGGTGTGCATTTAGTCACAACACAGCATTTCACCTGCTTAGAACCTTTTGTCAGAGTTTTTTTATTGTTGTCTGCATCCTTGTTGGGGAGGTTCATATAATTTTAGTTCCAGTGGCAGTGGTGGTCATGACAGGAAGTAAAAGTCTCAATCATTCCCTACTGTTAACAAAATTAAAGATCAGGTGGGTTTTTGGACCAACTTAAAAATCATAATTAAGGTTGTCTGATTTACTGTAGATGCATTTACCTGACACTTTTATATTCTTGCTAAATAATTCATGCTGATTAAATATTGATATGTAGCTAAGAACAGGCCCTTGCATTCATTCCAACCAGTTTGTGATTATTTACTGACTTAGCAAAGACATGTCCAACTCAAGTGAAGCACATTGGCTTAAAAGAAAATAAGGCCAAAACCTTTTTTAATTTTACTTCTCTTTTGGGTCATAGGAGTACATTTACTATTATACCCCTATGACCCAAAGCTGCACTGCAGCCAGGAAGGATCCCAACAGTATCCACAGGATCCACCCGGGTGACTGACTGACAACTGGCTCTGCCTCTCTAGAACCAGAGCCTGCCCCTTCCCCTGTTTGTTCCTTTCAGTGAGCACTAGGGGAACAGAAAGCGGAAGGGGAACTTTCAGGGAACAGTAAAAGACTGTCACTGCTCTCTGCAGGGTAGAGACTGTGAGCTGAATTTATCAGTGGTTATATGATCTCACAGCCCTCAGTGTATAGAGCCCACGGAGGACAGCTGCAGAGTCCCATGCCAGCTCCAAAGTAGACTATACATGCAGCAAAATTTGGCCAGCTCTTGATCAACTGTCGGTACCCTTCTGTGGTATCCCTCAATTAGCTGATCGAAGGAGCGGGTCAGAAAATTCTTGGCTGATTGGAGCTAGCAGCCAATCAGCTGCAAGCTCCGTTCAGGTATTTTACGGCAGCCACTGTAAGAATGCAATAGAAACAGCAGGTGATTTCTCGATGAACACTCGTAAGGAGTCCGTTCTATTTTTTTCAGCCCGCAGGTTAAACAAAAAAAATAGAACCGTGTATACCCACCTTAAGTAGTGAGAGGAGTATATTTTACACTCCCAATACTGCTCCTTTAATAAAACAGAATAAGTCCACATGAGATCATAAGGGCCACACCAGGGTACTTTGATTATTGACATAACTATATTGTAAAATAGTTCACATTTTAACTGCAAGATCATGCAAGGTAGATTAGTCTTTATGGACTATAGAATGAACTGGGGCTTCCTTCAGCTTAAATTGCCAGTGGACCTCAACGGAAGAGGGACAGGAATGTATGTGGCCCAGAAAACCCTAGTTTGATCTGCTTATGTTAGAGGCAAAGGTATGTACAGAAAACAAAAGGTTGTTGACCAGAGACATTTCAGTTCATCTTCCCGTTGCCCCCAAATTAGTGAGAAGACTTATTAAAACCCAGATATATTATTTTAGGCTTTAGTGGTCTGCGTGTGTCCTGTGGGAAACCAGAGGCTTTATTCTGTATTATGGCCATATGGCTATTATTATTTTAGTTTAAGAAAAGCGACAAAACCAAGCTTAAACCTTGTACAAAACTTGAGTTTTTTTAAAATACCGTATTTGCCGGCGTATAGGACGGGTTTTTAGATCACCCGAAAATCGGGGGTCGTCTTATACGCCGGGCATACTATATGTAGCTTCGGCTACATACAGTATACTGCGCTGAGTCAATCACGGCAGGCTTTGTATTCATTAATACAAGGCCTGGATTAATGAATACAAAGCCTGCCGTGATTGGCTCAGCGCGGTATACTGTATGTAGCTGAAGGACGGAACCCGGAAGATGGAGGACACTGCGGGGATCATGGACAAGGTAAGAGACTGTAATCCCGAGTGTGGCTCGGGTTACTGCTTACGGTACTGAAAATTAACCCCGAGCCACACATGGATGTTAGTGGGTGCATTTAAACATTATTTTGGGCTATACTCGTCTTATACGACGAGTATAGCACAAAACCTATATTTTAACACAAAAAGTAGGGGGTCATCTTATATGCCCAGTTGCCTTATACGGCGGCAAATACGGGAAGCTTCTTCTTGCCAGGAAACAAGACAATCTCTACCTTTCAGTTGTTATCAGGTCTCATTCTTACAAATGGCCATATTTGACAAATACAATGTATAGTCTTACACATATAAAAGCACTTAATGTATATAATTATTTTTACATTTTTTTTTTAACTTCTCATTCTTGCTCATTATTAATCTTTCAAAGATATTCCATGTTTTATTTATTTTATCCATTATAGTAATTCTTTTCTATTACTTTTCTCGCTTCATTATTGGTTATTTCACTGTCACTCAACATCTCCTTGATCTATCTTGGCTCCTTTGAAACATTGAAACATTCCTAGTCCTGCTGTCGCCCTCATTATGTTGGAGAGATCAGTGTTTTTCCCTTACTCTTTACAGATAGAAAAGCAAGACATCCTTGAGAAAGTCAATGACACAGTGATAATATTCTCCTCTCCACAAGTACCGGAACATTTCCTGAACTCTGAGGTTATCTCTTGGATTAAAATGGATGGCTTTGAATCACCTCTGCAGGCAGCTGACTTCTCTTTCAGTTACATTGCCGATCCCACTTTTGATAACTTTACTGATGGCATCATGAAGCAAGTGAATAATCTAATTCATGCCAAGGTAATGTATGCCATTGTGTACGATGGGCATGGTATTTTTATATGTCGGCTTTATGTATAACATTTTAGAAGTTTCTTTTTCCCAGTAAGCATTATGAAAACACAATCCACTCTTTGTAGCAAATGGAAATCAAAACATGCACTCAATAATATTGATCCTTCTAATTATATCATTTGCTTATAGTGCCCTCTTGTGTACATTTTATATAATGATCACTAGGGTATTGTAAATTGAGATATAAAAGGCATTTATGATAGATTATAGTTTAATCTGTAAATAGTTCTTTTATATGATGCATGTGAGGAAAGAATAAAAAGCTTCCGAAGTGACATAAATTGAAACATTACCTATATCTGTATTTAAAGTGTTAACTGGAGATCAATTCTGAATTGAACCCTTATACCCTTTCCGATTCTTTTGTTTCTTTATTCTGTGTAGTAATGTCAGGTTTTTATTATTAAGTATGGTATTATCGTATTTTATACATTAACCCCTTCGTGGCGGGAGACGTACACTGTACGTCCCGGCACTTTGTGCCTATATGACTGGCCACGTACACTGCACGTGACGAGTTATATCAGGCTCTGTAATGCCGGTAACTGCTGATTCTCAGCGGTTGCCAGTCATTAATGAATGCCTCAGTATTGCTTATTTCTTTCATTAATGAAAGAATGAAGCCGTTACATGCAAATACGGGAGCGCTAAATAGCGATCCCGTATTTGACAGCTGAAAATAGCAGAGAGGTAGCAGAGTGAGTCACATCTCTGCTATTCGTTTTAACAGCTCGATAGACTGATCCAATGTCTATGAAGCTATGTGATACATCTCAAGCAAAGAGGTACAAGAGATACAATGTATCTCTTTGCTTGAAATGTATCATTTAGGCACGATCAAAGAGCTTTAGTGAGATTTGCCATGCTGTCAGGATCAGTCGCTAAGGTTATTAGCTGTTCCTAAGTTTGGAGCAGCCTAATAATAGCCAAAAATTTTTAAAAAAGTTAATTTATCAAGCAGTCATAGTGACTGCTTGATATAAACTGACGACAAAAAAAGTTTTTTTTTTTTTTTTACAAAGTATTAAAAAAAAGTGTAAAACAAAATTAGGAAAATAATTATATATAAATATATTTTTATACTATAATTATTTTAAAGAATTTCAAAAAAATAATCAAAACTTGTGAAAAACTGTTTTTCTTGTTTTTTTCCTCTTTTTTTATTTGATTCAAACTAAGTGAGACGTTAGGTACATGTTTGATATAATTATATAGCCCTATCTGTCCTCTAAAAAAACAACATATAATATGTGTGGGTACACTTAGTAAGAAAGTATATTACTGCTGTGGAAGAATCACACAGCAAAAATGTAAAAAGCGTGTCAGTCATTTATGAACAGAAACTGAAAACTAGCTCAGTCATGAAGGGGTTAATGTGGCAAACTGACATACACTGTAGTTTCTGGACCAAAAGCCTCCTATACAACACTCTACATAGTAACTGAATTTGATATTTAAAGCACAAGTCTCATAAAGTGAAAAAAAAAGTATTTTACCTCCTCTGTCTCACACTCTCCCCCTCCCAGACACTGCAGCTTACAGTAGGAGGGTCCCAGAAAAAGAGTAAGTGGCATCAATCCAAAAAGCAGTGGGAGTGACTAGGTTTGAGCTACAGACTTGTCAATCGGTTGTAGCAATGCTATTACCCACGCCCCCTGCAGCATTTTTTCATCCCACTGTAGTGCAAGCACAGTCTTCACTTTTAACAACGTAAATTATATCTCAAACTAAATTAATTTTACATTTTTGGTAATGATGCCACACTATTATGTTGTAGAAACTGTAGATGGGAATATTTCAAAGAGGGCAGAGCTTGGAACTATAGCAGGGAGATTTCCTAGCTGAAGTCCACAAGCCAGCAGAGTACCCAGCACATTCTCCTTCTATATCTTAAATTTCACTGATGGTTGGACTTGATAGATCAGGAAATGACTGGTTGAGCTGATAGCTGATGCACATTATTGGTTTCTTCTGTAGGGAAAAGACCTGAATGCTGCAATGACAATGCAAGAAGCTAAAGCGTATGTTGGAGAAAGTATTTGCAAGATAAGTACTTTGACGTTAACAGATTTATACTGTGTTCCACCTGAAGAGCAGCCTCAACCCAGAAGACGCCATAAGAGGGACACCACAGACAACCTGCCAGAGTTCACAGTATGTACTGCTTTCTTTAACACAGATCTGTCCTTCAGTTTCCTGCTAATTGCATCTTGCTGCCCCTTATGCAAAATGACTAGCTTGTCAAATAGATTTCAGGACATCTGTGGGCAGTAAGGGAAATGTTTCAGTAGTCTATAAATTATAAACCGTATATTAAAAAAAAAATGTTGAATTCACTAAACTTGAACTGGGTATTTAGATTTCAATAACCTCTGGTTATGAAAGGGTAAAACGTAGCCAGTTATCCATGCTAGCTGTTCTTTTTTGGCAAAAGGAAGTGTCTTTCTACAGTATAACCTTGACAGGAAAGCAGGTGTGTGCAGAAAAATACCACTCCTCACTATATTTTCATTAAAATAATCTTTTTCTTTTTTAAGTAATAAGTTTTTTTAATTTCTTATTTTAAGTTTATTTTTTCATTTTATAATTTATATAGATACATTATTGCACTGTGCAAGCTGCAGCCTGCCTCCCTCTGTAGGAGGGAAAAGTGACAGCTGCACCTCCCATGTATTCATCATGTTGATTCCCAATCAGTGTGGTTTCGATTTGTTGTCAGTGATAGAATTCTCATGGAACTGGCAGTGTGCACAACTTCAAGCACATAGTTCTCAATAGACTATACTGTAGATTACATTTTTTTTTAGCACAAAGCACTGTGCTGAGGAACCCTAATCTGCCAATTGTGATGGAGAAACAGGCCATCAAGTGGACTGGCTGTGTGCATAGGTGTATGTTTTTCCATTCTGGCAATGCTACATGACATGAAATGCCACTCAGAATTATATTATGTTATTTCATTCTTTATTGTGTGCAATGCTTAACTTGGATTAATTGGGTTTGCAGCAATGGCAAACATACATATTCACTTTGGTTAGGGAAACATTACATCTTGTAAAGTGAATTCTCCAACCACATCTGTTGCCTTGGAGCTCCAATATTGAAATATGTTGGCAAGTTGTCTCCCCTGCACCCATCAATATAACATATAGATTTAGGCTCCACCTTCTAAATTTCAGAATCAGTCTATACATTTAGAGCTCATGGAGTGGGGAATATCCACCTGCAGCCTCAAGCCAAATACACTAGTAATGGATTGTGGTGGACTATAGTAAGGAAGGACAGCTGATATTTCCCCTCAACCTTTATTCTGATGGTTTTCACTCGGAACTGAATTTTCCACTATTGAGTAGTTTAGCCCTTCTATAAAGGTAATGCAACCTCCTTGACTTGTAGTTTCTGCCGCACTGAATACTACTGGGAACTTTGTCAAAGATTTCTCTTATGGTGTTTTCTTTTTCTCATGTTTAGGTTCAGTTTGGGAACAGAGAATGGGTCCTGGGAAAAGTAGAATACGGACAGTCTCCAGTAATACCTCTGCATATCATTATTCCTGTGGTCCTCATACCAATGATTTTAATAATTGGTATATCTATTTATTTCTATCGGTAAGCAATCTGTGTTAGTTTGCTGAGCTGTACTACTATATGTTAGTGTCTCTGTGGCTTCCCCTATTTTGGATATAAAAGCAGTGGAATATCTTTAAATGAACTAGCTTTTCATTCCTTTGGATTATCTTGCTTGTATATGTCAGCATAGTTCATTTACCATTGTTTTGTTCAAAAGAGGTGCAAACCAATGGTTAAATAGAAGAAATAGAACAAAATTCTCCAGGCAGCTATAAATTATGTGTAATAAAAGTACGATCCAGCACTCAGCACAGGTGTGCAAAGCTGTCAGCAATTACGCATGTCCTCAAATAGGTCTGCTATTCTTGGCATCTTCTGGGAATGGTTATTTTTGTAAGTCTAACAAGCATACATCCCATGCAAGACCATTGCTTTGTACCTGTAAAAAATAAATGTATGTTCTGTACAGCAAGCCTACTTCATTACTGGTCTGGTGTGCTTGAAAGAGTCTCTAATAGATCACTGTTATTTCCGTAGGAGGAAGAGTCAGCAGGCCGAGAGGGAGTATGAGAAAGTCAGGCAGCAGCTGGAAGGATTAGAGGAAAGTGTCAGAGATCGCTGCAAGAAGGAATTTACAGGTAATATTGGATTGTTTCTTGTGAAAATTGCTCTTTGCTGTATAAGCTTGAAATGTATCCTTGTTTCACCCAACCCCTAATGATGTAGTGTGTATTTAGGGATGAGCAGTGCTATTAAAGGGGGATTGTAAATTATACCCCACATAAGTGCACTTTTTTTTCATCTTTAATGGATATGCACAACTTTTTATCAACAACCCAGAATCCCTCCACCCCCTTTTCCTTTCCTGCATTAAAAATGTCAATGAAAGCACATACCTCAAAAGGTAAAGATTGCATTGTGCAGCAAACCCAGCACCATGTGAAAATCCTGCATCTGGTTTTGGCGTTTGTTAACCATATGTATGTGGTTAATTCTTTGCTAGCCATATGTACCAAGCTACATCCAGGAATGGCCAATATATACCCATGGCCAGTCTTGATGTATGTTAAGGGTTTCCAGGGTGCCAAAGCCTTCCAAATAGAGCACACTGCTACCCAGTGTAAATAGCACTTTCTGATAACACTTTTAAACACAAACAGCTGGCAAAGTAAATGGAAGACTGATGGGATTCAGAAATGCATAGAGTAGGCACCCTTAAGCAATAGGATGTGGACGTAAGTCATATTTATAAAGCAAATGTCTTAGAGGTTGAAATTGATAGAAATAAATCTGTGTTAAACCGAATTGTAACTGTTGTCACTCTAATTTACAAGAGACATTAGTAAGTTAGGTGTTATGTTCGGTTATAGATTCAAGCCTTGGTCACTCCATGCTCTGGTTGTCATGACTTCCTAAGACAATGCTTACCTCATTACTGCTCACAACCTTTTAATCTCCTTGAATGTCGGTCATGTTAAAAATCTTGCACCTCTCGACCTGAGGCTCTAGCTCCATGTTACTATGTGCATGATGTCTCATGAGGCTTTATAGCAATAGTAGTAAAACCATACAGCCTAATATGTGGCAGCTCCAAAATACAGTTTTCACAGGGCGTTCAGGGATATCGAGACCAGATAATGACACTAACTACTAGCATGTTGTCATATCAAGTTTTTACGGTTTATGTATATATATTTTTTTATTTTTTTTTCAGATCTCATGATTGAGATGGAAGATCAGACCAGTGACCTCAATGAAGCTGGCATCCCAATTCTGGATTACAAGACCTATACAGACAGGGTTTTCTTCTGGCCATCAAAAGATGGAGAAAAAGATGTAATGATCACTGGCAAACTGGATATTCCCGAAGCAAGACGCCAAACTGTAGAGCAGGCTCTCAATCAGTTTTCCAATCTCCTGAACAGCAAGTCATTCCTGACTATTGTAAGTATTCAGTAGCAGTAGGTATGAGTGTTCTAATTTTCCTTCTTGGCGCTGGCATTAGACAATCGCCTTAGCTTCTGACCGATTATGATTCTTGAATCTACTAGTTTTGCACTAAGAGGGAGATGAATGAACTAGCATTGCGATGTCTATAGAAGCAGGGTCATCAAATGGAATTATTAGCTACCAAACACAGGCTCTAATCAAGCAAACACTTCTCCCAAAAAATTGCCACAATTATAGAAAATATTTGAAATGTGCTAAATGAAATAAGATATGTCATTATTCATGTATAAAAGCAGGAGGAGCAGAGCTGCGGGGTAGAAGTTTGTATTTTATGTACATTGAAATTGTAAATCTCTTTTTCTTTCTTAGTTCATCCACACTCTGGAAAGCCAGAAAGACTTCTCTGCCAGGGAAAAGCTTTACTTTGCCTCACTGCTAACAGTTGCCTTGCATGGTAAACTGGAATACTACACAGACATAATGAGGACGCTGTTTGTAGAGTTAATGGATCAGTACGTGGCCAAAAATCCCAAACTGATGCTCAGAAGGTAAGAGCTCATTTTGATTCTGTGATATGTAAAGTTATTCACACAAGATCCAGCATACTGCCATGTGACACCTTGTATGAATGGCGTCAACACCTATTTGACTGAGTGGGCCTATATTTTGGGTCCCAAAGAGCACTGAAGATAACTGTAGTTATGTCTGTGAATGGGGGTTATTGCTCTTCCTTTTATAAAACCAAGATATCGCTTTGGTGGGGCATTGGTCTGAGATATACTAATTTGTATGATAAATGTTTCTTATTAAAAAAAAAAAATCTTGGTCATAACTTTCAAGGTCTTGTGGATTTCAAGACATAAGGCTACTTTAGAAATACATTATTTTCTCTGCCACAGCAGTGGTGCACTCCCTACTCACTGCTGGTATTGTAGCGGCTCTAATTTTCAAATCTAAAATAAGAATTCTGTAGTCTTTATAGCACAGCTCTTTGTAGGCTTGTCTGCATGTACGTTTATAAAATGTCTTTGTAGCTCCTTTCATGCACTGGTCCCTGTTTTACGAATGTATCACATACATTTCAATTTAGTTTTCAGTGTTGAAGTGAAGTTGTAAGAATCAAAATATCAGAACTGCCATTGCTGACTTAATTTTAAGAGTGCAGGGCTGTCATCCTGATTGTGATGTTAGAAGCACGTAGAATAGAAATTCAGACTGCATGCATGCTTGTTCCTGGTCAGTGACCCACTAGTTAGTGAAGCCAGGATCAGAGCCCTGGAAATGTAACCTTCAAAACCAGCTCTGCAGTGGCAGCTCATGTATTTCTGAACATACATGTTTACATTGGCAAAAGAAAAAGATTGCAAATGTATCATTCAAAAACTATTCAAATGCAACATGGATGTCTACAGAAGTATTGTCAGCCTAGAATAGAAATGTATACAGCCCCTTCGGGCTTTGAAGCAAGCCTGTCGGCCATTTTAAGGTATTAAAAATAAAACTCCTCCTTAAAGTGTATTTCCACTTTTGCCGTCAAGTTTGAGAAAACCCCCTGATATGTTTGTGTTCCTGTTCACACAGCATACTGAAAAATAACTTAAATCTTTTTTTAGATGTTTTCTTAAATCAGGCAAGATGGCTGATTCCAGGTTTTTCTGTCCCAATGGAGAGTCTCGGGACTGAAAATTGAGGATTGTGTTTATCTGATGAGCTTCATTAACATTCAATGGGCTAGCCAGCTCAGACCTCTCACTTCTCACAGCCCCTCTTAACATTTCAAAGACATAGAAACTAGGGATGCACCGATACTAGTATCGATATCGGTGCCGATTCCGAGTTTTTGGGCGAGTACTCGCCTAAATGCTCCGATGCCTAGCACGAGTACTTCCGGTATCAGGAAGCCGGGCAGCGCGTCATTTCACGTTGCACGGTTTCCAGATTGGCCGGGAAGCGGCTCCATGCTCTCTCGTCAATTGTGATGAGAGAGCATGGAGCCGACTTCCCGGCCAATCAGGAAGCCGGGCAGCGTGAAATGACGCGCTATCCGGCTTCTTGATTGGTTGGGAAGATGGCCAATCAGGAAGCTGGCCTTCTGAGGTAAGGTTACCTTAGAATGTGCAGCCTGTCACCCCCGGGGCCTCTCCAACGAGAACACGGCTTTCCTCCGGTACCCAGCCGGTCATGAGATGATGAGGGAGCATGGAGCCAGCTTCTCGGCCAATCGAAAAAACAGGGCGTTGCGTCATTACACGGCGCCCGGCTTCCTGACTGGCCGGCCAGACGGGGTGACAGGCTGCACATACTAAGGTAAGAGGGGACTTTCTTGTTAATCGGGAAGCCGGGTGGCGACTCTTTACACGCAGCCCAGCTTCCCGGCTAATCAGGAAGCCAGGTGGCGAGTCATTACCTTCCTGAATGGGACTTCCGTTAATCAGTAATTGGTATCGGCAAGTACCGGAAAAAAAAATTTCGTTACTCGGTACCAAAATACCGGTATCGGTGCATCCCTAATAGAAACAATAAGAAATGTTAACCCAATTTCCACCTTTTTGCAGAGGTATTTAAAAAAAAACATATGCCAGCAATGTACTAGGGCTGCAACTAATGATTACTTTCCTAATCGATCAAATAATCAGCCAACTAATCAGATAAAAAAATGAAATACCATCCTTAATTTATAATACACGATTGCAGTGTTACAAAGTTTACTTCAGAATAAGACTGCAAGCTTAATTTGTTTTGCAATCACACTGCATTGGAACGCACAGCATTGTGGTACCGTGCTGGCTATCACATTCTGGGTAGGAGGTGCGTTTGGGGTGCCATTGAAGTGAATGGTAATGCACCGAACCTCCCGCAGCAGAATTTGTCAGACTGAAAATGACACTTTCCCACCTTTTTTTATAATAATTGTACTGTAAGCACATGGCGCTGGAATAGCTTCAGCCAGGGATTGGCAGCCGCCAGTGGCAAGATTCCGCAGACTGGCTATTGCACCCGCCCTTGGCTTGCTGTGCCCTCTTCTCAGCATGGAGGAGAGAGCTAGGGGATCTAACCAACTAATCGATAATGAGAATAGTTGACAACTATTCTCATTGATTAACAGATCAGTTGGTTGCAGCCCTACAATGTACACTGATTGTACATGAAGCAGGCATATGCAGTTGCTGTGTATGAACACACACACTTGTTTTGCTAGCTTTCTTCCTCATATCCTCATATAAAAATGTCTGCCTGTGTTTTGCAAGCTCTTTCTCACCTCTGCCATTCATTAGTATTCAGAGTCCGTCCCCCCGCCCCCCCATCCCCAGACAGTGCTTTGTCTGTAAAGTCTGTGCTAGTGTTCAATGATCATGTTACAATCAATGACAAGGAAGGGAGAGCTGTTTTAAGCCTCATTACCATCTGACCCTGGTGTCTTACTGGTTTTACTGTGAATACATTTTTAGGATTAAGGCCTAATTAAAGGTTCATTAAAAATCGAGAAAAGGCTAAAATGTGAGTCATGAAAATGTGCACATATATACATCATCACTGCACCTCTTCATTACCTCAAAAATTGCAAATCGCATACAAAGGTGGAAACGGGCTTTAAAACCCTAACCCGAGTATAAGCTATTTCTACTGCAAGAAGCATTTTTTCCCCCCAGCTTATGCTATGTTAATGGAAACAAATATAAAATAGGTGTCAGGAACCGGGTCTGAACCCAGTGCCTCTGCTGTAGCTGGCGGTGGTTCTACCTGCTGAGCCACCCAAGAACCTTAGATCCTCAGTTATACCTAATCAGATGCTGAACTCTGACCTCCTTGCTCCTCCCTTGAACTTCCTATTTAAACCATGCCTCTGCACTTCCTCTTTGCCAGATTATTGTGCTCCTGCCTTGATCTTGCTTCCTGCTCCCTCTGTGCTACAATCTACTCAAATGCTTCACGTGTACTGACCCTTGGCTGCTGTTTCACAGACTACTCTCTCCGTCTCCTGCTACATACTTGATACCTTTTGGCTCCTGACCAAGGCTTGTTCACTGACTACGCTTCTGCCTGCTCCTCCACCACTACCCTCTGCTTGTGTACCAAACCCGGCCTGTTATACTACGATTTGCATGCTGCTTCAGCTGCTGGACTCTGAGCCTGATCCCAGATCGTAAAAATAGGTGTTATCTCAATTTGGTTGTGAGAGTGGAAATGCACTTTAAGATAAAGTATTCCAAGTTGTCTGCTATTGCCTTTGTTAGCAAGAACAGCCCCCCTTTGTGCTTCCCCTGCTCCTAGTTTCACTTTGCTACTTATGGCTTACACTTACTTACTGACTTCAGAACAAAACCCCCTTTCAGAACTAATATCTACCTTCTATTTCCTGTCAACGAGAGTGTCTTTATTGAAAGGGGAAGAGGGTGTTGGGTTGGTTCTACTTCCAAAGTTCTACAGAATTGTCTGTGTGTGGGTGGCTAGCATTAGAGAGAGGACCAAATTATTAGGTAACGAAAGTACAATTGCAAAAAGTTCCTTAATAAATGCCAGTCCACAATAAAGCAGTATTAACTATGGCTGGGCTGCTGAATTGCCTCTACTTTCTGCTTTTACCCATAACAACAAAATATTGTTTTCTCACTTTTTTTTCTTAGATCGGAAACAGTTGTTGAACGGATGCTTTCAAACTGGATGTCTATTTGCTTATATCAGTATTTAAAGGTAAGCGCTGGCTATGATATCATGGCACAAAGAGGCCTGTAGGAAATCTGGATCATTGAGTACAAAGAGTGGAACGCCCCAAGGTGTTTTGTTTTATTAACTGTCCGTGCCAGTTTAGCAGCAACATTAAAGACTTGGCTCATGTGGATCACAAGATACAGCATCCTCTGTTCATGCATAAGCAAAGCGTCCACTGGGGATAAGGGATTTAGATGTTAACAGTACCATTAAAAGCTCATTCCTAGATCTGACACTTTTTGTCATTGGAAATGCAGGACACAGCTGGTGAACATCTATACAAACTCTTCAAGGCAATCAAACATCAAGTGGAGAAGGGCCCCGTGGATGCCGTCCAAGTTAAAGCTAAATACACCCTGAATGATACAGGATTACTGGGGGACGATGTAGAGTACGCACAACTGGTAAGTTGAATCCTTTGTTGATGACAGAATGAATGACATTGGCACAATAGAGGTTTTATTCTGCTCAGAGAGATGTAGGAATAAACAACAAAAGACACTTTATTATCTTGATTACAGGTATTTTTTGGCACCAACAGTTTATGCAGCGGCTTTACATATTGTACATTCACATACATAGTGAGGCAATTTAGAAACAGGACATCTCTGTGCAGTAAGACAATAATTGGCAAGCTAGAGACTTACACCTGCAAATGTGTATCCATTCTGGTCACAGGAGGACTCCTAATGATGAATCAACATGCACACAACTTCCAAACGTCTGTGAACATTTGCGTGAGCTTAAAAAGAGCTTTTCTTTATCATGGGATAAATTACGATTATGAGATAGAAGATTGTCCCTGAATGCAATCTGTCGATGTCCGGGGACAATCATCTATCCCGAATTGCAGGTAATCATCCCATATAGGAATACACGTGGACTCCCACTGACAAATGCGACTGCTGTCCACCTGTCATTCACTTGAATGGGCAAGCACCAAAAAAAAAAAAGCATGAGCAACATGCGGCATTCTTTGAGCTCCTTGGTCCTAATGTGTGATTTAAAACTTGAAATCACATCCTACAAATCTAAGGCAAGTTTCAGATACCTATAATGTAAACAAATGTTACCGAGAATTTATTTTTGTGCTTAAGTGTTCATGGAGATGAGAATCCACAACTAACACCTAACCACCTCTCTTCTGCAGACTGTTAACGTCCTTGTACAGGATGAGGGCTCAGAGCCTGCACAAGTTAAAGTATTAAACTGTGACACCATCACACAAGTCAAAGAAAAAATCATCGACCAGGTTTACAAAAATCTTCCTTTTACACAACGGCCGAAAGCAGACAGCTTAGCACTGGGTAAGTGTGTTTAGTAGTCATGGCTCAATGTATATTGGTTCATGTTTTGTATGTTTGGCTTTACCTCCTTCTATCTGTTCATTGGTGTTTATAGGATGCACTATTTCAACTGAAATCTAGCTCTTGTTCTCTAATGTGCTATATAGCCTTGGGTCAATGCAAACTAAAATATTGTGTGCTATAAAACTGTGAAATGGCCTCAGAGTGGGCTTCCAATTGACATAAGTACCTTCATTTTCAGAATGGAGGCCTGGTTCAACAGCACAAATCCTTTCCGATTTGGATCTAACCTCCCAGAAGGAAGGTAGATTGCGGAAGATTAATACACTAATGCATTACAATGTAAGTACTGTCATATTGGTGTAAGCCGGACTTTTAAGTAACATTTCCAGACTTGTATTTTTCATCACTTCATTTCTGATCATACCTGTAAAACCCTTCCCCACTGTTGTACATTAACTGCACATTGGCAGCATTTTGTGTTCCTTTCATTTTGTTTTAAATCCTAACTCCAAATTTAGTTTTAGGTAGGAAAGTGAAGAGTTTAAACGTTGTTCGGTCTTTATCTGTTTGTGACCCTACTGTAGATTTTTGGCAGGGGGGGAGGGCACAGATGGTAATAAACATTGTTCGAAGTTCTTATCCTTCCTCACTATACTCAAAATGGTTGGAGAATTTTGAGAACAAAGGCTCTCACCATTCTCTACCCATTCCAAGACTAAGGTTTATCTGAAGGTTGGCTTAAAAATGTATTGAAACTCAAAAACAAAGATGTAATGTATTGCAGCATACCAGTCCTTAGATTTGATGACTGAATTGGTTCTCTTTTCAGAATGCATTGGTTCTGTTTTCGGACTGCATTAGTTCTCTTTTCAGTACTGCCAATAACACACTTCCTGTCCCTTTGTGTCTACATTCACTTCTCCAGTGTATCTGTTGGGGTTGTCACACAGGCCGTACTTCAAATAGCCTTTGTTCATCTCCATTACATGGTGAATTGATGGGACTAGCAGTTTATAAAAGGCAAACAATCCAGAGACTTCAGTATTGTGTTTGTGCCAGAATTCCGCAGTTAATGCATCCTCCAAGGGCCAGTTCACACCACAAAGAGTGCGTTCCAGAGCGTTCGGCCTCTGGAACGCAACACGGCCGACTCCCTGCGTTCAGGGGGGGGAGGGGTCGTGACGGTGCATTGAAGTCAATGGCACCGCAGCTATGCCTCCCGCCGACAGTGCGAATGCTCGGACATGGCACATTAGTGTCTGCGTTCCAGTACAGTTTGATCTGCAAAAATTAGTGCATGCAGGTTTTTTTTGTAGATCGCACTGGACCGGAATGCAGGCACTAATGTGGCACTCATTTGGGTGCAGGCGATCACTGCGGACGGGGGTCGTTTGACTTCAATGCACTTCCACGCCCCCTTCCGCCCCTTAATGCAGGGAGCTGGCCGGGTTGCGTTCCAGAGGCTCTTTTGTAGTGTGAACCGGCCCTAAGAAATGTCTGCACCAAATTCAAAAACATGCTGCACCATTTCTGACCTCTACCAACCCCTGCGCCAAATTCAAGTAGTACTTACTTGCACCTCTGACAGTTCAGTAATAGGAAAAGAGATGCAAGTAAGACCAAGTACTTTGTAGTGTAACTGGTCTGTCACACTTTCGTATTGTATATGCCTTATATACCTCAGATGCAACTTTCCTTGAAACCGTGGATCCAACTGAAATCTGTCTTGGACACATATGTGACAATTTGGACAGAGATGAGACATCTCTGTACTTTATCAGCGTGCATATACTGTATCTGTCCCAAAGTTTGTCTCTCAAGCCAGCACCAGTTATATAGGTTTGCATCAAATTCATGAATGTTATGCAGCCTTGTACATGAATTTGGTGCAAATAACACTATTCCTGCGACACTTTTCTTGTGTGTCTCACTCTTTTTGAATTCCCCTGAATATTGTTTATGCTGTCTCAGCTCACAGGAAGTGACAAGGGCACAGCATTTTTGGCAAGATGAACAGGTATTTTCTGTACTTGCTACAAATGTTCTTAGCCTGAAAAAAGAAGTTAATGTAACCACCACATTTATAGACTGGTAAGCTGCAATATGTTATATATTTGTTTTGGGGTTTAAGGAGAGTGTGAGCCCACAGCTGCAGGACCAAGCTTCTATTGGCAGCCTAAGATCCAGAACAGAATTACACAATCATTATGATCATTTTGAAACTAGAAGAGCTTGCAGGGTTTACTGCCAGATTAGCTTAGTAGAAGCACATATGGTGCTTGTCTTGCAAGAAGAAGGGCAAGTCTGGTCCTGTGTCAGAGATAAATCTCTGTACACTGTAACAAGTCTTCTGGCAGTGGGAATCACTCATTATCTCCACCAAGGGTAGGCTTAAATGGCTTACTCTTTGACCATGTGTTGCATCGGGCCATGATATGAAGGGCAGAAGGACTGTTAAGCTCAATTTGGTAACTTTTGTTAACACTAAACTCCATGCAGATATAATTGACAAAAATGATTGTAGTCATTGAATCATCAATACACTGCTTCCGTTTAACAAATACATGTAATGATGTAGGTACCTGAAATTGACTTGGAATCAGCCTGTTCCATTTTACTGTACACTATATACAGCATAACACAGAGAGGTGGGGGAAAAGCAGCACAAGGATTCAATCAGGTGTGCTACAGTGCAAAGAGCATGCCGACTGCAGGAAAGGGCAGAATGAGATCAGCTTATCGGTGTGCTGCTTTCTCTTTTACTGTCAAGTCACGGGGTATGCAGAAGGGAGGAAACCTGTAAATGAAAGTAAAACTGCAGCAGAGAAAGATCAGGTCCCCTTCCCTGCCAGACAAGTCTATGCTGTGTAAATGTCAGGACTGGGTAGATGGAAATAGAAACCCCTTAACAGATAAACCAACTCTCATATACATAATTAAGGGAATTTATCAAAACTGGAGCAGAGAAAATCTGGAGCAGCTGTGCACGGCAACCAATCAGCTTCTCTCTTTCATGTTCAAATCTTAACTGAACAAACTGAAGAGAGAAGCTGATTGGTTGCCATGCACAGGTGCTCCAGATTTTCTCTGCTCCAGTTTTGATAAATTCCCCTCTCTGTGTATTAAGCGGTTTGTCGGATGTTCATCTTCAAAGCCCATCTCCAGGGGAAAAAACCCTGAGCTGCAAAGGTTAGCGCTTTTTTTTGTCTAGGTCCTTTATTTACCTGATACCCGCCTGATTACCTGATCCAAGACCGCCACCCGCGCCCTCTTTCCCCCCCCTCAGCTTCAGTGGCCAGAGACCCTCTGACATCTTCACGTCTAATGCAGGGCCCATAGCCGTGCATTATAGATGAGGACGCTGGGGAACAGTTCGGAGCGTAGGGGACACTGGGGAACAGCCTGAGCATAGGGGAGAGAAGGGAGTGTTGACTGCCAGGGGAGCGGGGATCAGGTAAGATAAAGCTTCCCTAGATATAAACAGTAAACCCTTGCAGTGCAGCGGTAGCCCTACTACAAGGGCAGGCTCTTTTTAACCCCCGCAGATTGGCTTTCATAGGGCAAGTTCTTTTTACCCACGGAGATAGGCTTTCATAGAATATAAGCATGTGCATGCCTCTTGGAGAAAAGACTGCTTATTCGCTTATAAATATAAATGTAACATTACATATATAATATTTTACCCTGCTAAAGTGCTGTGAAATGAAAGGGATTGCAATGTGTTCCTTGCTATATAATCTAAAACCGGTCAGTACTCTCCTGTTCTCATCATGGGCACTACTATCTTACCTGAGTTCATGGGTTTAATACATTTCAGAAATATCTTTCTTCACAAATAGCTGAATCCCCAATGGATATTACATGATGGGATGAAGTCAGCAGCATCCTGTTTGTCTACATCTTGTTGCGGAGGACATTGTATGCCGCATTATATAGACGTCTGATTTCTGTTTTGGGTTATTTCTTTTTTAGTTTCTTCTTGCAGAGTTACATTCTAACTACAAATCAAACCATACCTGAACACACTGTTATAAATCCTCTTCCTGCTGTCACTTGTAGGAAGAATACATGTGCTGTAATATATGCTATGAGACAAAGTGCTTCCAGTGGTGTCACAGCTAGTAATATTTCCAGTACATGTCTGTTTGCAGGTTAGGGATAACGCCACTCTTATTTTATCAAGAATTGGAATTTCTCAGCAACAAGAAGAGACTCATCAAGATTTTCCAGGAGAAAGTAAGAATATTCGGATTCTCAGATTTGAAATGCTGATTTGTGTATATTATTTCTTAATCAGAGCATCTTTCAGCATAACTCCTCACTAAGAATTATTTGAATGCATCCTGATTCCAATTTTATGTATTTGAAAGCAGTATATATTTAATTTAGTCCTGCTTTATATATCACCTTGCAGATAAATCGAAGATATAAAATTATAGTTGTGTTTGTGATTTTGTATCATCTTAGATTATGGGAATTATTATGTCTTATTGAAACATAATTGATGTACATATGGGATCCTAACCTGTGAATTAGGACTGGCTGTGTAAATGTGTCATGACCAAGGCCCATCATATGGAATTTATTACCACAGTGGCTTTAGCCTTGCGAGCCTGTTCACATTTGCCTGTTTCCATGCAGCAAAACTCAGGTATTTCGCTGCATGAAGATGCATTGCAAGTAGAAATCCCATAATTTGGCTGGTTCACCTGTATGCACTGCGAATTGGTGTGAAAGGAAAAGGTAATCTATATGGGTCCATTCACACCTACGCATGGGCATTATCACACACACTGCATACACATGGGGGCATTATCACACACACTGCATACACATGGGGGCATTATCACACACACTGCATACACATGAGCGTGAATCCAGTCTAAAGGAAACCTGTGGTGACGGAAGTATGCAAGATCCTAACCAGCTACTGAGAATGCTAGTTACCTGGCTGTCATGGTGAACATCTCACTTTAATACTTTCTGAGCCTTTCACCCAGATCAAATATGCAGCGTCTGAAGACAGAACTTTTGATCTGCATACTTGTTCCAGGTCAGTGACTAAGACTATTGAAGCCACTGGATCAGGGTGACTGCCAGGCAATTGTTAAAAGGTGAGGTCACTAATGGCAACCTAAATATTTATCTCAGGTTTTCTTTAAGCCAACCCTAGATAATGGCAAATATATTGCTAAGTGTCATTCTAATGCAGCCTAGTCATTCAAACAAGACCTTTACCCACTGCCCACTTTGCTGCCTCAAAACTATGAATGGTAAAGAAATGTCTGAAAATCCATTGCCATGGGATACTAGAGTGGCCAGTCATAGACACATGATGAGAGATCATCTTTGAACAGTGAATCCATGATAAATCCTAAATTACACACTAATTAAATGCAAACACTTTTGTGAGCAATTCATCAGGTCCACTGACGGTATGCAATCCTATTATAAACAATTCACAGAGCCATTTGCCTGGAAAATCTTTGTAAACGTTCTTTTTGTGCAAGTAGAGGCAAAAATAAACATTCTTTGTATGTTTTTTGTTCAGGTCAAGTGTAATAATGTATTATGGCCACTAGATGGGGTGGAGGAGAACAGAGAAATATATATTTATTTCTTGTGCTCCTCAGCTCTATCTAGTGGCCTTCATGTGGTATTACACCACATTCTACCTGAGAAGAAAGTACTGTACTGTTTTATTAAGAATATTAATGTTTGCCTGTGTTCGCATAGAAAGAACATTCAAAGAGATTCTCAGGGTGAATAGTTTAGTGATTTCTATATAAATAGACCCCTAAGTGATCAGGAAATGCATAGTACCCTGACTTGTTGCTGAACGTTGTTGTGGTTTATTTAATAGGGCATGCGCTGCTAGAAGATGAAAACAAAGTATGGCATCTTGTCCGACCAGCAGATGAAGTAGATGATAGCAAATCCAAGAGAGGAAGTATGAAGGCAAAAGAGCAAACGAAGGCCATTACAGAAATCTACCTGACAAGGCTTCTCTCTGTTAAGGTAGGCTGATGTGCATATACTAATGGTTTAAAACTGAGCTCCATGCAGATATATTTTTTAAAATGTATTCTGGATATACAGGTGAAACTCGAATAATTAGAATATCGTGCAAAGTTCATTTATTTCACGAATGCAACTTAAAAGGTGAAACGAATATATGAGATAGACTCATTACATGCAAAGCAAGATAATTCAAGCTGTGATTTGTCATAATTGTGATGATTATGGCTTACAGCTCATGAAAACCCCAAGAACCCCAAATCCACAACCTCAAAAAAGTAGATTATTACATGCAATCAATAAAACAAGGATTGTACATAGAACAATATCGGACCTCTGAAAAGTACAAGCATGCATATGTACTCAGTACTTGGTTTGGGCCCCTTTTGCAGCACTTACTGCAATTACTTTTGCATGATATTCTAATTATTCGAGTTTCACCTGTAAATGGCATTGATTGCCGGAAGTCCAGCTTTAAATAAAAATAAGACCAGCTGTGCTATAGGCACTGTTCTTTTCTAACCTTGTGCTATGCTTGTGTTTTCCAGGGTACTCTCCAACAATTTGTAGATAACTTCTTCCAGAGTGTCCTTAACTCCAATCAAGTGGTACCACCAGCTGTGAAATATTTCTTTGACTTTTTGGACGAACAAGCTGAGAAGTATGACATTAAAGATGAAGATACTGTTCACATATGGAAAACAAACAGGTTTGTCCTTTATCCTAGACCAGTCTAGTTGTAAAGAATGGAATGAAGAAGAGAACAGATATGTTGATTGATCTCTTCAACAGAGTATAATTGTTGCTTGGTCTGTAGAAGACAAGCTCTCCATCCTCATTTAGTGCAGATCCTTGCTTAGATCCACCTTTGCTTTTGATATGGGGTGAGAAATATGCACATCCTGGTTGAGATCACTGCACCTAGGAGCCAACCAAATGTTTTGTCCCCATATAAGACCCATTTAAGGTAGACTGCTCATATTCTATTTTTGTGTCGCGAAGCAAGCGGACAGTAATTGGCCACATCTTCAGGCTGTGCAAACCATTACCAGATGCATGCTGACTTAACCCTCTGCAAAGCCTGCCTAGTGACATTTAGTGAGGTGTAGGCCAGGTTCACACTTGGGCAATCGTGCATGAAACTATTCAGGCAGGCGCTGCCATTCTTTTCTAATGGCGCACCAGGCAGATTGCGCATTTTCTCGTTGTGATTCCACCTATGCAATCGCGCATGATCGCTGCTGAAAAACCCACGCGGTATGTGTTGGGAAAAAAAGGTACATATATCTTTTTTCAGCAATAGCTGTGCGGATAAAACTCCATTGATAATCAATGGGGCCAAGCGGCAAACGGTGTGTGCAACAGGTGTCCCGGGATAGCCCAAGTGTGCACCAGGCCTCAGATTGGTTGCATTGCTAAGAAACGTTGTGTGCTGTATATGGATGGCTTTAAGTGGCACTACACCCTCCCATACCCTGAAGATGGCACCATTTCAGCCACTATATCTGCGGTTGCCATAGTGCAGCACACATGAACAGTAATGACACCAGCCAATTGAGGATTTGAAACGGCTGACATACTGGCAACTGTGACATTTATGACCAGAGGCAAGCTTAGAATGTAGCTTGCACTGCACAAGTGCTGGTAGGTAAAATAAAACATGTGTTTAAGGGTTTATTAACTTTAAAGATTTCTAACTTTCTTTAGAGGGAAACCATTAAATTGGTGGGCATAGTTCCATTTTACTTCAATCCTTAGGGAATATTTTACTGGAAACTGCTCTATAATGGGTAGAATCAACCAGGTCCAATTGCTTAAGAGAAACCTGTATTGGGAATATGGACGCTGACCTATTCTGAAAATGCTAGTTGCCTGCCTGTTATACTGCTCCAACAGCTTTAATATTTCCTAATAGATCAACCCTAAACGAGCCTACATATGAGGAGTTCTGACTTCATTCTGAATCTCTAATCTAATCTTTATACCCGTTTCAAATCTGAAAGTATATAAGCCTGAGGCTACTAAGTATAAGTATCATTCATAGGCGGCTAGCAATGGCAACTCTCATGTTTCTTTCTGTACAGGAATCTTTAAAGGGTTATTAAACCCTCAGCATGTTTTTGCATATATCTCCTGCTAGCAAGCAGGAGATATATGCAAAAATGTAAAAAAACTTTTAAAACAGGTTAAAACTTAACTGTGTCTTCGTCGCGCGCTCCCGTTCGAACATCTGAAGAGTCTCGGCAGCCGCAAAGGATCTTGGGGCGGGCGCATGTGCAGTTCAGATGTTTGCCCGGGAGACGAGGAGAGACGCAACGTAAGTCTATGGAGCAGCGTGCACCCGCACAGACACCGTGGGACGTCAGAGGAGTCTGCGCTGGATCGGAGACCCGCACCATCGCTGGAGGGACAGCAAGGAAGAAGATGATCAAATATAGAGGCATCATTTAAGGTAAGTCCTGACACTAACATTGGGTAGGGGGGGGGGGAATAGCCTTTAATGTCACTTTAAAGGTAGAGAAAATGCAGCCAATCAATTTATTTACTTTGTTTCATCATTAAATGTACATTTCTAATATATTGGGGCTGAGCCTATGTTGCATTGCTTAATGTAATCCGTAACAGCAGATGAGGCAAGCTGCTTATTATTTTTCTTTCTTCCACACAGCTTATCGTTAAGGTTTTGGGTTAACATCCTGAAGAACCCTCACTTCATCTTTGATGTACACGTCCACCAAGTAGTGGATGCATCCTTGTCAGTCATTGCACAGACCTTCATGGATGCATGCAGCAGGACAGAGCACAAGCTGAGCAGAGTAAGTAATTGGGCCGATCAGTCAGATGTCTGGTTTCCTGTATATGTCATATATAGGACATGTGCAGAGCTAGTCATCTGCCAGGCAGCATTAAACTTGTTACAGTTATCGGTGACAGCATCTTGTATTGCATGATATGGATGACAGTCTGCTTTACGCTTGTCCTTATCATGCCAGTCACCGGTAAAAGGTTAGGATTAACACCTTGGTAGAAATCCTTGGAGCTTTTTTCTTTTAGTATTTTATACATTTCCACTTTTGTTTGATACACTTGTAAAAGTACACATGGTGAAGCACTTGAAGGACAATCTCACTCAAAGAAAACATGTTTCTTTATTCTCTTTGTTCCCTCACTGCAGCCTCTGATGGCAGTACAAATTGTTACTGTACTATACTCTTGCTTGGGAAACAAGTCTTTATTAACTAAGAATAAGCAGTAAATGGATTTGTTTTTTGGAATTCAGTGAAATTAGATAAATACTCTACAAATGACTTTAAAAAAAGGATTATATTATTCATAAATTTACATTTAACATTGCCATACCTTTAAAACAACGTATATTGTATATACAGTGTTCAAGAAATTGTTTCCTGTAATAAGCAGTAAAATGAACCATTTTAATGGGGTCACTATCTTGAAGTCCCTGATTGCTGAGGCTTGTTCCCTAAAGAAGTCCTGACAACTTTCACTAGAACAGGAAGTTAGGAGAAATCTCCCTGGCATAGTCAGCAATAAAATGAAGATGGTAATTCTAATCTAATATGAAAAAAGGGAAAATGTTGGCTGGAGTTCCACTTAAAAGGGCGACAATGCGATCAGGATTTTTAAATGTGTCTGAATATTTGTAAGCAAGCGTGACTGATCTGCAGTCAGAATTCAGCAATCCAGCCAGTCATGTATGTGTTTCTGCTGATTGTGAAATATGTATATATTCATGTGAATGCAAAGCTGTGTCTAGTTCACGAATTAGTCCTCATTAAAGCCTGCTATGGTTAAATACCTTTTTTGGTCTATTTTTAGACAGAATAGGGATGGGTTAGAACTCTGTCTGGTTTTCATTGCAGTCTTTCTCCACACTGGTGAGGTTTCTCATCATTTCCCCTGTGGTTAGTAGCACAGAAGGAGGGATATATGTATAACAGGGACACAGAACAGTTATAGCACTTGTTTTAGTAGGTGCTGGAAGAGATCAAATTTTTTTTTTTTGGTATCTGTGTTCTCCTTGGGGTGACTCTCCTCACTTCCTGTGCGGTCACCAAGACAGCTTGTGAGGGGAGTTCACCACAGAGATAAAAACCCTCCCCATGCTATACAAGTGTGACTGCTTGCAGAGATCGAAGACAGATTTATTACTAAAGATGTGACAGATTTTCACTCCAAACAGGTGCCGAATTAAGAAGTGGTCGGGGTCAGGTTTTATTCTGTCTCTGTGCTACTTTAGAGCAGGGAGGGATATATGATTTGGGCTGTAACCTTTTAATAAATCTGTCTTTCAAATTGTCTCACTGTCATGTGACAGAATTGATGAATGTCCTGTAATGTGTGTTGTTATAATTGTGGCTGATCTGTTTTCATTTTAGGAGTCCCCCAGCAACAAATTGCTTTATGCGAAAGAGATCTCCACATACAAGAAAATGGTGGAAGAGTAAGTTATTGAATCATGTTCACTAGTAGGCACATTTGGGGTTGCACAATCTACTTTGTATCTCTGATTTTGTTAGTTTGAAACTTTCCCGTTCAGAATCAAAACCTGTAGATTGGATTTATGAAAACGAGGGCTTTAGAAAGCGGTTGATGAAAGAAAAAAAATCAGCTGGATGATTGTGGCATGAATGGCTGTGTATTCCCTTGGATCACTCCTCCAGACATTCAGGGGGGCAGATTCCATTTTGCTCTGTTTACAATGAACTCACTGATATCACCCGGTGATGCAGAAGGGAGGGTGGTAGGGAAGACGCTTGCCTTTTAGAATGCAGTGTTCAGGTATGTTAATAGTTTCGTTTTTTTTCCAGCTATTTTAAAGGAATCCGTCAGATGGTACAAGTCAGTGACCAGGACATGAACACACACTTAGCAGAAATTTCAAGGGTATGTTCAGTGAAATAAATGACACATCCTTTGCATGAAACATCATCCTTTGTTCTCTGGACTGCTGCAAGTTATATTGGATGCAATTACTTTTTGTTGTAAGAGATGCTGCTTTAGGATCTTTGTAATCATGCACAGCATCCATCCGCATACAAACGTTTCTCACCACTTGATTACTTGCTTTGTTTTAGTTTGCCGTATGTTTGCAGTAACCGCTTTTTTATTTGGTTTGAAATCTGCAGGCACATACAGAATCACTAAACACGGTTGTAGCGCTACATCAGCTGTATAAGTATACAAAGAAATATTATGATGAGGTAAGTGACTACCGAACAGACTTGATCTATGACATACATGTATCGATGCGTGCATTTTATTTCTAATGTATCATTTCCCCCTCCTCTTTTAGATTGTAAGCCCTCAGGGGCAGGGCCCTCCTTACCATCTTGTCTTGATTTGTATCGTGATTGTAATGTCTTCCTTATATTGTAAAGCGCTGTGCAAACTGTTGGCGCGATATAAATCCTGTATATTAATAAGAACCTAAAACATTTATTTAGCTAGAGTAGGGAACAAATGGAACCCCGTCAGGTTTTTTTCGCCGTCTAAGCCCCCTATGGGTAGATATCCCCTCAAATCCTTTTCTGGTTGCCACATAAAGGTGCCCACACACCTTGCGATAATCTTATCGCAAGGTGTGTGGAAGGCGTGCAACCGTTTCTACTGTACGGTCGCACGACTTTTATCTTAGGAACGAGTTCGAAAACCAGCCGAGAATCGTACAATTGTCGGCGGGTGTGTGGCATGTTCGTAAGATAAATGCCGCACAAGCCGGTGTGCGCAAGCACACACTGCCCGTTCAGCATTGCGGTCATCTGAAGCCCGCCCCTCAGCGGGGCGGGCTTGCGATTATCGCAAGTATGATCTGCCTGTCCAGATGGGCTGATCGTATGTTTTTAATTACCTTACAACCCTCGCAAGACAGCAGGTCTCTGCTTCATCAGCTTCTTTGGGGGTCCCTAGGTGACATTAGGGGTTAAAGACCCCTAATGTCTCCTTTAAAGAGGACCTGTCACATCCTCTTTGCTATCATGTAGGGCTTAGGCTTCCGATATTTCCAGGAGGCTTGCATGACATCATCATGCCTAACCTTTATTACCTGGGATAGCTGGGTGCTCAAAATCTTACAAGAATGCACTCCATCCCATTACAGGGACGTATTCTTGTGGGCATATCCCTGTAAATGGGGCCAATCCATCATTCTCTCACAGAGAAGAGTAAAGGTCTAAATTATTGTACATGGTGTGTCAGGCAGAGATTGCCAATGATGACTCCTGGAGCACACCGCTTCGACCTCCTATTACACCCTGCACTTTGCGCACCATGGTGCAAAGCCACAATCCACCTTCCAAGGATGCACATCAGTTTACAGCAGGGCGTTGTTCCTTTTATGGATTTTACAGTATGTAATATACACTTGGAAGAAGATTCCTTGTGTGCTGCCATTCTGCTGTAACCAAGATTACCAATGGTCCCAACTCATAACAGGCATATATATTCCTGCCTTTCATTATCAAAGAGATAAATGCCTCAGTAGCAGGTCAAGCCCATTGTTATCTCATACTATTGCATCTGTGTGCAGCAATAATGAACCCAGGTTTGCCTGTGTATAGTGTGATATCATCTTCATGACTGAGACTTCCTCCCCTTTATTCCACAAACTAACTCTGGCTTTGTGTTTTCTAGATTATAAATGCTCTAGAAGAGGATCCATCAGCACAGCGCATGCAGTTAGCAATCCGGCTACAACAGATAGCAGCCGCCCTAGAGAATAAAGTCACCGACTTATGATTGGGAATATTCAGACAAGCAAAAACGATGTTGACAGTTTTTCTTCCTAAGGAATAGAGTGTTATATTTTTAAAATGTCATTTTTGCCTTTTTTTAATTAGACCTTTTTGTCTTGCACACAGTATACAGAGGAAAAAAATGTTTTTAATGTAAATTATGCCTCAAATGAAACCTGTGTTCTATGTGGGGAGGGACATTTTTTATAACTCATGTAATTATACAATGCTGTCAACAAGGTTGACGTTTTAAAATTAATTATGCAAGCATAACTATATTTGTAGCGTCATTTCAAGTAAAGCAATAGGTGGAATAAACCATCATTTCACTACATTAGGACATTGAGTCTCCTAGTTGTCCCCAAGCTTTCTGTTTCAGTAACCGGACAAGTCATGTGAACGTCTTATAGACCTTTCCATTGTCCACAAAGTGCCACTAGGGATATTGCAGTGCACTGCATTGCTGCCAAGCTTTTAATGAGTTCTGAAAAGCTGCCAATGGATGTGAAACTTAAAGGAAGCACAAATTAATCGACTTTTTTTATTATTGTTCTGAAAATTATTTTATAGAAACATACATTCTGATGTGCCTTACATGTACCAGTTAATGAAAGACTGAAGATACATGATTTTGTTAAAGAAAAAAGAATATAGATTTATTTATCACTGATTTTTTTTTTTTTCTTGTGACCAAATGTAATTATTTGTGTGTCAATGAAGTACAAGTTGACATGATTATGTAAAGATTTAATATGTTTATCGTGTATTAAAATGTTACTGGAACTTTTCATCTGATTCTGGTAGCATAGTCAAACAAAGCACCTTTATATTGTATTTGTACATTAGGAATGTATACTGCAATATGTGATCTTAGACCACAGCCCACATCTGATTGTACACATCAGTACTCCAATAAAGAGTCTCACATCTCATATTTTTAATGGAGCATGTCATACTCTCTGCCTCTGAAATTGGTTGCGCTATTTAAAACGTCTCCGCTGTTAAATATAATAACTTGAAACCAGGGACGGGTCCAGGTGCTGTGCTGAAGGTGGGGGAATGAAATAGTCAATCCTGAAACAAGTCATATTACAAGCAGACACACCATACAAAGAAATGCTTAGTCAGAAAAGCATATGCTGAAAAATAAAATATACGTGGCAACTTTTCATAGCGAGACTGGAATTGTGCCAAGATCGGCCAAATACATGGTACCAGCAGTGCTGTGGTTCCATAGTGACAGGCCTGCAGGGGATTCAATTTTAGATTAATATAATCCTCTAAACAACAGCATTGACTTGACAATACGGAAGCAAAAAAGCGGGCATGTGCAACAAAAGGCAATCATGACAATATGAGATCAACAAACTGGCAATAGTGACAATTAGGAATGCACCGATACCGTTTTTTCAAGATGGGGTACAAGTACCGATATTTATCTTTCTGTACTCACCGATACCGAGTAGCAATACCAGTACTTCTGCTAGCATGGAGCCGGCTTCTGGGCAATCGGGCAATCTGAAGCAGTATTAGTACCACAGGAATACAAGATCTAGTAACAGTCACAAACATTACATCTTCTTGTGAGCCTTCAAGTGGAGCAACACAGAAATTGGTAACTTAAGATGTGAGACACAAGTACCTGGTCATTCTACACCATAAGGCCCATTGGTACTCTGTGGCAGTGCTTCCCTGTTTTCTAAATGCCGACTTGAGTCCTGGACCAGTCTGACACAGAGCAATGGCTGATTTTCTTCTCTTGCCTGACTTTGGTCAAATGTGGTGGCAGGAAAAGGGCGTTGCAGTATCGCATGGCTGAGGCTTGGGACGTGGAGCAGCTGCAGCACTGTTCCTTTTCTCCTCCTAACATTGGGGTTTTATCCATGTGCTACTAGCTACCAAGGATGGATTTCTACTTTTTTCTTTCTTGGTCAGCTACTTTGTGCCGCCCCTCGTCAACACACAGTGTACAGAACCAAAACGTAGTCACCAGCACTAACAATATTATCTCCAAACAAGCACAAACTTGCCCACAGAGACGCAATCAGGACTGTACTGACACAGCCATAAAAATGTCCACCAACACAATTCCGGCACGTACTGACTTAACCAGAAAAATGTCTGCAGAGAGATTCTTAGTACTGTACTGACACAAGCAGAAACATGTCTGACACAATCCATACCGCACTGATAATCTGAAGGCGTTCCAGTAATAAAAAATACAGTACACTCAGAAGTGGCTTTACCAGAGTGCAGAGGTGAAATTAGGCATCTAATAGAACCCATCATGTCTCCTAAAACAACCTCTCATCTGCACTTTTCAGCCCCCAGGTGAAGGCAATAAAGTAAAAAAAGAAATGATAGGCTAAAAAAAAAAAAAAGCACCCCATTCACACACACGTGATCGCAAACACGTGTCAGGTGTGTACTATATGGCTTTTAAAATGTCACCTATAGACAATTTAGGGTACCATATTTTTTGCAGTTTCATGGGCATGTGCAGTTTTGAGACTAAACATATTTAGTATCTATTTACTCAGGGCAGCCTCATCTTTTATTTTTCACCAAAAAATTGGGTAGTATTGTGTCTGTGTGTACAAAAATTAACTTGAATGTTACTTAAAGGAGAACTATGAGGTGAGTGAAAATCACTCATCCTCATAGTTCGAGCCGATGTGTGACAATGAAACTGTCACAGGTTGGCTCAATAGATCGGGAGGTGAGCGAACACATACTGTCGCTCGCTCACGTCTCGATCATCTCCCTGCAGAGAGCCGTGACTGTCGCTCAGGCTCCCTGCAGGGATTCCCCCCTCCCCGCTCCGATCCTCCAGTGCTAACTGGTCGAACGAGCGGGGGCGGGTACAGATGGCTCTGCCTCTAGATAGGCAAAGCCAGCTGTCACTCACGCAGCTGGGTGGATCTCGACAGTAATGTTGGGATCCGTCCCGGCTGCGGCAGTCTCAGTATATCGCGAGCTGTAGCTCGCATTATACTGAGCTTTGGGTGACGGGAGGACACTAGTATATGTCCTCCCGTGACACTTAAGAGAGCTATGGGGGAAAACACTCCATAGTTCTCTTTTTAATATGAGTTAGAAATGACACAATTATCGTGTGATATAACAAATTGCACAGGACACAGTGAGTACAGAAGGAAAAACCATAAACTGGGATTTTAACACTTCCTAAAAACTAAAGTTTTTGGCTTTATGTACAACTGCTCAACAATATTACACATTGATAAGGGTATTATTTGCATCAAGTTGATCTGATTTTACACCCACATTGCAATGTGATTTGGATTTTCCAGACGCTGTCAAGGTGCTTTTATGTTAATAAAAAAAAGATCTGCAGGTACCAGATTGCCTGCTATCCCCATGGAAGGTGTGACCTAGATTTTGTCAGTACAGCTTCAATTTTTCCCCTTCATCTTAAAAGAAAATCAATCATGCCGGAGCTGTAATGAGAACGTTCTGTTTGATGAGTCACCTTCTAAGCTGAAGACCTTTTCCTGCAATGTGACACGTTTTATGACGGCTGTTCAGGTTAATACATTCTGTTCTCTCGTGTAATGCTTTAAAGAAGCTCATAGGAAGTTATAGTGCTGCAAGAAAAAAACGCAGTTACACACATTTCATGTTCCCAAAAAGCTATTCTTGAAAGTTCCCCCTCTGCTTCACATTAAGATACGTTTCATACAGAATGCACATGTGGAAATGTTTTTCTAAAGAGACCGAACTGTACGGAAGAGAGAAGGGAACGAGCCAATGCTCTAACTAAGGGCTAGGCAACCTCGGAACTCTGGCTGTGGTGAAACGACGCATCCCATCATGTGTCTGCCTCTGGTGGTCATGCCTCTCTTGCAAAGCCTCGTGGGACATGTAGCTTCACCACAACTGGAGTGCCAAGTAGGGTTGCCATCTGACCGGGATTCGAGCACTGTGTCCGGGTTTCATGGCAGCTGAAACCCAGACACAAGATGTCAGGCAGACGGGCAACCAAAATTAAGATAGGGACTACTGGCCTCCTTGCTGAAAATAGTCTTGACTGTGATATTTACATATAAATAAGCAGTGACTCATTCATATGAAAATATCGCAGTTAATTGATATGCAAACTGTCTGCTTTATATTTCCTTACACAGTTTTCCAGATAAAATCTCTGGAAAGGACCATTTTTAAGTATAAAAGATTGCGAGTTTGTTTTATATTTACTTTCAAAAAGGCATTGCAGCAAAAAAAAAGTGAAACAAATCTACTGTAATCCAGCAAATATTGCATCTATGCTAATTCAGAAATCTCAGTCATTTTAAGTGGAGATGCGGCAATACTGGGCATTATGCCCCTATACTAAGTGGCAATACAGGCACTTTAAATTTTGAAATAGTTTTGGCTCCTGTAATAGCCACTCTGGTATTCTGCATTGCTTTATAACATATTGCTGGGATTTATAGTCCTCTATAGCTGGTAGTATTTTGTATTGCTATATAATGTATTGCTGGGATCTGTAGTCCCTCTACAGCTTGGAGTCAGTGGCAGAACAACCAGTGTTGCAGTGGTTGCAGCTGGTACCTAGCTCTGGTGCTCCACCACTGTCCTAAAATCATTAGTGTGTATTGTTTTAGAAAAACTGTCACATGACACTAAAAAAAAGGAATAATTGGTATTAGCGAGGAAAAGAATCGGTAATCGTATTCGGTCTTTAAAAAATGGTATCGGTGCATCCCTGATTTTAAGGTAATTGCTGATTAGTGAGAATACCTCTGGCACATTGCTGGTTAGTGTATATACCTCTGTTACATTGGCGTTCACTGAGAATACCTCTGTTACATTGGTGTTCCGTGTAAGGCCTCCAAATTAATTATCTCCTCACTCTCTCTTTTGGCTGTCTCTCCTCACTCTCTCCCCGGCCACCTTTTTGCTCTCTCCCCTGGCTCTCTTTCCTTTCTCCTGACTTTCCTCACTCTCCCAGCCGTCTCTCCTTTCTCTGTCCTGGCTGTCTCTCCTCTCTCTCGTGGCTGTCTCTCCTCGCTCTCTCTTCTGGCTCTATCTCCTCGTCCTCTGTATATTCTCCCAAACAAATTGCAGTGTGGCCCTAGAGTTTTTAGGTTTCGCTTGAAGAAAATGTGGGCAGCCCAAGTGCCATGGAAGCCTAACCCTGCTCTTACTCATTCACTTGCAGGCTTAAATTTACCGTTAGGCACAACGGACATGTGCCTATAGGAGGCCAAGGCTGCTTATCTTTATACAGTAACCATCCATCATGTTTTTGGTTCCAAAGAGAGGTGTGTGTGTGTGTAAATTTCAATTCTGGCATCTGTCAACAGCAGGTTTATTACTGCAGTAAAAAAAAACATTTCCTTCTGGTTCATTGAGGAACACAGAAATTCAAATTCGGTTAGATTAAACTGCCATCTACAGGATGAATTGACATTGGCAAACAAAACAATTGTGGGCTAGTCCAAGATAACCTCTCCTACTGCCAGCATGCCTTTGTTTTTTTTTTGTTACTGTACTGGAAGGTTGGCATCTATTTCTTCATCTCTGTTAAGAAAAATCAATATTTTTATGCTATCTTTTTCTTTTCTGTTCTTCAAGGAATTATTTTCCTCAGTGCTGTCAATCAAGGTTCTTTTACAACATTTATGCTTGAGATGGTGTCTAGATAGCAGCTATCTGGATCAAGGTTTACTCAGCACTAGCTTTGGGACCTGACCCAGACCCCAATGGACTGAAGATGGTGGGGCTAGCCTGGACCTTTGCATCCTACATTGTAGGGTTTTCCAGACCTGAGTGCATTAGTTAGCCACAGCACACTTTCAGGGCTAGTTCACACCATAACTGTGTGCACCTGCGTAGCTGCAGTGCGATGCCGTTTGTCGCAATTTTGATGTTTCTGTGGGGGGGGGGGGGGTTTAAACTTAAAATGGGCTTCCAGGTGCAGT